AGTCTTGGAAGAAAACTTTCTCTTTGTAACTCACTCGGCTGGCACTCCAAATTGACCCAGACTTACCACTGCCCCCCGCCCGGCCTGCACGATGCCAGGTATTGGGCGGTGGTGACTCAGAATAACCCCTCTCTCACCCAGCTGGCATTGGCTCCCTCCAGTCTGCTGATAGACATGTCCTAGATGGGCTAAATGACCTTCTGAGGTGTACAGGGTGAATTCCTCCAAAGGCAGAACTCCAACAAGGTTGTTTTGGAATTTTGGAATTTCTCAGAAACTAATCCAAAATGGCAGCCAACAGGTGTCAGGGCTGATTTTTATGCAGTGGGTCTGCCACACACCATCAGCCTAAGAGCTGATCTCAAGAGAGGAATCTTATCTTCAGGTGAAGAGGAAGCAGGATCCCAGTGGGCACCTCTTCTGGAGGGCAAGGACCAATGTATGAGTGTAACTCAAATGTCACGTGTTTAGTTTTTATATGTGTGTACATAATTATATATATAGATAGACTTGTGTATACACCTTCCACAGACACATCCTCACACAGAGATACATGTGATCAATGTATATTCTTGTCTTTCCTGCTCTCAAGTTGGAACTTGCATTGTGATAAAAGTTTTGGAAATTCAAAAGTACTGCGACGTGTTGAAATAAGAAATATTCAATATTGTCAAATAATCTGTGATTGTCTTGCCATCAATAAATATAATGCATAGATGTGTTAAAACTACAGGCAAAAATAGCCCAAGGGAATATCTCCACCACCTCTCTATGTACTTACATTTAGGGGGCACGTGCCTGCATGGGCCAGGGTTTCCCTACTTCCCTGCCATGGGCATACCCCCAAGTGGTGCTTGTTGGAAGAGTGCTTTCAAACTTGTGAGAATCTATGGGAGTCTACATTACAGCATCTGGCCTGGCTGGCAGTGAGGACAGTCACTTTGGGCCTCTGGGACAGCTCCGTTGACAGGGATTTGCACTGGGTCTTGGTGAATGAATGTATGGTGGGTTTTAATTTTCTTGGCATTGAAGGGTAGCTTTACTTAAAACATCCTATAAAACAAAGTAGATACTCAGTTCTCTTCTCATGTGCACACAATCCAAGGCACCATGATGTTTCCCATCCTGACACAGAGGAGCAGATGGCATAGAGAATGGCAGATACCATTTGGATTGACATGACCTCAGGGAGTCCTGCTTTTCCTAGACTGCACACAACAACGTCCTCTCTTGAGTTCAGGCTTCTCCCTGAGCCTGTGGCCTCTGAAGGTAAGGGCAATTGTCCCTTCTCATCTTCCCACCCCAGTGGTGCCTTGCCATTCCATGACCCAGTCATTCTCAACCTGATGCCACCCTGCTCTCCCTAGGGTCTATAATGGTAACCAGACCTCTTTCACAGAAATGGGTTGGCTCCTTGGCTGTCATCTTGAGTCAGTGCCATTACTATCCATTTGCTTGAGGGAGGATCTTGTCTCAGAATTAAGGTTTAATAATAAATGGCCAAGTCCTCTTGAAGATGTCATGAACTTGCTTTGAAATCCACCGTGAGACTCCACATCTTTGCTGAATCAACACTGGTTAGCAGAGGATAAAGCCTAAGGTTCCTTTTAGGACATGATCTCAGTTTAGTCATTCAGTTCCTCTCCCCAAAGCCTAGATCTGACCTGGCATTTGGGCAGGAGCCTCTTCTTTTAGCCCACTTTCTCTTTAGGGGACTCAAAGAAAAGCTGTCAGTAAAGTGCCTATTCCACACCAAAACAAGGCATCAGAAAAGTCAAGATCAAAAAAAGCAAATGGCTTATTTACAAAGGCACATATGTACCAGCAGGAAGGCGGGACATCAGTATCTCGAGCTCTGTGTGCAGTTGTGTGGTCCCAGATTAAAATCTGCTTGGTGGCTAGAGGCCTTCTGCCATCACTATCCCCCCTATGTTTCTATCACCATACTGCAGTGTTCCCAGGTCCAAGGAAAGCAATGGATAGGTCAGTTCTAGTGTCTCAGGAAACAGAAACAAGAATTCAAAGTGGTAGCCAAGTGCAGACACATCTGGGGTGCAGCGTCTCTGTTATCCAGTGGCTAACCAGTGCTGGGAGCCCCTATCTTCAAGTACCAGATATGACAAAGGAATGCCACTGCTGACTTTGGTGTCCTACAGATAGAGCAGCCTCATTCCTTCACAGATGAAAGCAGGTGAGGATGTCAGGACCAGAGACCAGGTCACTGAGGACTGCAAATAGTCAGAGCCATGTGAGGGGCAGCTGAACAGATGTATGTGTGTGCACTGACCAGAATGTTGTGTGCTAGTTTCCAAACTACCTCTCCCCAAAGAATGTGAGGCACCGTCACCTTGCCACAGCAGCATAAGGCAGAGATCCCATAACCCTTCCTGTTCTGCAGGCGGGAGAATAAGACCAAGAGGGTGACTTGATCACCCAGCAAGTCAGGAGTGATCTGAACCAAGGTGTTGCCATTCTTCATCCATCGCCAACCTGTGTGTGTCCCTCAGGCCATCTCTGCTTTGTGGTTAGGATGTAAGATTCTTCCCAGTGTATCTCAGTGAGATAGGAGAGAATACAGATATTATTTGGGGTCCCCAAGTCTACTTAGATCATCTGGGGTGACCACAGACATCAGGGCACCCTTTGAATTTCTGCTTGACATCAACTGTTTTGGTATTCCCGAGTCTTGAGACCTCAGTGTGCAGCCTCCCTGGACTCCAGACCTTCCCATCAGGGTATGGTTTATCAACAAAACCTGGCAATGGGGCTTTGGCTGTTTCCTTCATGAGGTGGGAAATCTCCATAGCGTCGAAGGCCAGCCTGCATCTTGTGGTGTGTGTTGACTCCCCAGCTCACTTTCCCCTCTCCCCTCCCTTTAAAGCGATCTGCTGTGAGGAGCACAGAGGGTGGCCTTTCCATCTGTTACGGGCTCAGAAGGCATAGCGGCCGTATTGACTTTACATTAAACTGTGTAAAATGTGGAAAAGACTCAGCATGTTGGTCAAACAATAAACTGTCCTAATTCTCAACACAAACCTCTTGTCTAATGTTTCTAAGAGGGGGCAGTCACACATGGGGGGAGGGTTCAAAAAGAGATCCTCAACTGCACGCTCCCAAAAGCCCTCTTCTGTCCTGGTGTCTTTCTCCTGCTCACCTGGGCTTTATGCCAACTCTGAAGGGGTAGGGTGGGACACTGGGAAGATTACATCCACACAATCCCCACAATCTTGTCTGCCTAAAGGCAGATGGAAAGGGAAGTTCCAGGCAGAGCCGAGACTCAGGTGTGACTTTTTTCATCAGTCAGCTCTCTAACTGCCTGGGTTAGGGGTTATTGGGGGTGGGAGGGTGGGTGTAGGGAATGGAGCTCCTACCCTGACTTCCAGAGAACCATTCAGAGACAAGAACTTAAGGGTGATGATTCAACCCGCTAAATAGCATTCCTAACTCACCCTACACCAGCCAGGCGACAATCCTGCAAGGCCCCTCAAGTCTGTCATCTCCAGACAAAAATGTGCCCTAAAAACCCATTTAGTTCTGGGACCAATTCCAAAGAATTAAAAGCAAAAATGAGGCACAGAATCGCCATAGCCTGAGAATGCTGGAAATCTCTTCAAGTCCAGCTTCACCAGAGCCTTTCCCTTTAAAGGTTCTAAAGGTCTGGAACATCCTCCAATCTCTCAAGGAAGCCATCTCTCTTTAGAATAGATGTGCCTCCCCACTAAGCCTTCCTTTTTCTGGTTTCCAGTTTTGAAGTGTTGGGTGGAACGGTGCAGGGAGGTCAAGGGGCAGAGGCTGACCACCAATGAGGCTTGCGTGGGCCAGAGGAAAGCTATTCCATGACAAGCAGTCCTCCCAGGGTGACGGCGTTCAGGGCAACGTGACTTCACACAGCAAAGGGAGTGAGCGCTCTCCCTGGGTATGGCATTGCCACTCACAGCTGCCCAGCTATCCCTGCCTTTGCCATGCTTAGGAAGCTCTGCTGGGATTCCCTCAACATGAATGTGATGACAGAGCTGTGGTGAATGTCCTGCCTGAGTGCACAGCGTGGCATCCAGGGATGCTCAGAGAGGTCACCATATGCTACACTCAGATATTTTTAGAAAGCTCAAACAATGTTCAAGTCAACAGAACCTAGCCAAGTGCATCACTCTTGGCAGACCATATAGGCACTGAGAAGAAGTGGCAGGCCCCAGGGGTGCTCTAGCTTTTGTTGATCAGGAGCTAGGGCCCACAGTAATGGTGAAAGAGAAGCCTCCAAGGCCTGGCTTGAATGAAGACCCTGAATAAAGAACTGCAGCCAGTGGCAAGACCCCTCTAGTCTGTGGGTGTGCTCCATAACCACTGAAGATTCACTCCAGAAGCGGGCCTGTTTACCAATGGAGTGCCCAGGGCTTGCTCACAGCAACTGCCCTCCTTGCAGTTTTCCCTCAGCTGGGCACAGGAGGGCACCTGCATCAGGTGCCCACATACAAGGCGGCTCGGACACCTCCAGTTCCTAAGGTGTTTCGAGCCTTACAGTCAGTCTGTCCCTGTAACCTGACAGTACTTTCTACTCTGGTCACATCTGCCTCCCATCTTGTAAAAAAAAAAAAAAAAAAAGGGCCTGCTTTGGTTGGATGGCTTCAGAGGATACCACCTGAGAACGCTCTGGCCTTCCACCCAAGCCCTTCCCAGCTGGATATGGTGCCATGCCTGCATATTCCAACTATTCAGGAGGCTGAAGCAGAAGGACCACAAGTTGAAGGCCTGCCTAGGCAGCTTAGTAAGACCCTGTCCATGTGAGGTAAGGACAGGAGAGTTGGCACCTGTGCACCCTGCGATCGCTGGGCTCAGGTAACTTGGAGTTAGGCCTGAACCCCACACATGCTTCCATCTGTTGTCACTGTTTTACTTTGAGCTGGACAGGTTGATTTATTTATCAAGGAATGTATTACTCACTTAAAAAAGCAATAAAAACCCAAATGTTTAAGAAGACACTTAAACATCAAAACACAAAAACATCACTTTGAAAAGGCAATCTTTTTTTAAAGCATGAACGAATATGCACTTCAAAAATCTACAGAAAACTTTTCACTTGTATTTGTTCCACAACATTCTAGCTAAGAGTACAAAACAGGAATAACCTGAGCAGCACATGAACAAAGCCCAGGAACCCTCGGCCATCAAGAAAGCAGAGCAGTGTTTAAGTCTTCCTGTAATCTCTAGTATGACCACTAGAACACGTGAGACCCTTGGCATTTACAGATTTGGCATCTACGACTCTATCCTCTGGGAAAAACTGATGAGATTTTAAAACCAAAATGCTGAGGCTGGAGTATGACAAGTCACTGAGCTGACAGAGAACATACCCACTGCCTACTCAGCCTTGCAGTCTTCATGTGGGGCAATGACCACAACTGCATCTGCAAAGCTGGGAACTCACAGAGGACTAGACAGTGTGCAGTCCATGAATGTCAGAGGTGACTGGAAATCAGCTAGTTTCATACACAGGCAGGTCTGTTTCCAACAAAAGGAACCAAAGCATAGAGGCAGAGGATAAGAGTTTTCAGATAACCAGAGTCTCATGATAATGTCCTCTCTATGTGAACTGTGATGTCACATAGACCTCAATCCTAAATCAAGAACACACTAAAGGGAAGTTACACACACCTTAACAGAAGGAAGATGAGCCAAACAGAGGTGACTCCTTTGAACGGGAGAAATACGGGAGAACTAAATTTAAACAAAAAAATCTAAGCTGGTGCCAACAGTAATTTGTTTCCAAAATAAAGAAATGTTTCTAGCCACATCTTGTGCCCCTTCTTTATCAACGCCAGACTACCCTTTCTCCAAAACTGCCAGTCACCCGCAGACAACCATGGCTGTGCTTCAGATATATGCTCAGGCGATTTTCGCCAGCCATTTCTCCAAGTCCTGGATGTCAGCAGAGCCAGTGTCTCCTCTTCCGCCCTTGGCACTGCACTCAAGGAACTCCACTTTGAGGGGCAACTGTGAGAATTCAAACTCTTTGCCTTTCTTTCCCAGCTGAACAGGGACGGTGCTGGAATTATCCAGTGTGCTGGGGGCAGCGGAACGCGTAACTCGTAAAGTGTTGCTGTAGGAGGAGAAGAAAACAAGTCAGCAACAAAACTTTACACAGCAATTAAATCACACTTCTAAATATGTCAGCACTCATTTAAGACTAGAATAATCATGAACCTGTAAATTATGCTATTCAGGTTACTAAACAATCCTTTGCATTTGCAAGATGGAGCTCCAATTTCTCACCTAGGTGACACCAGGTCAGTAGTGGACCCAGGTCATAGCAACTTTCTCTCAGCCAAGGCCCTCTTCTGTTAGAATCTCCTGATGCCATTTTAAATTATAGTTTAAAATTCATGCTATAAGTGTTATAAAAACTTAATTTATGAAAGCTAAGCACGGGTAGACAGGGTATTTATTTTACCTTGAGTCTATTTGGATATGGACTTATAAATCCACAAACTCTAGACTCTTATATCTAATTTGACAAAATTAACTGCTCTCCGATCTCTTCATTTGCAAAAACCTTCTCCACTAAGTCACCTTACTGCCATCTACTGGCCCTGACAAAACAGCGCATGAGCAATACATTTGCTAACTCCTCCCTTTCTGCTCCCAGAAGCAGAGGAATGCTTGCCAGACCAACTAACTTTCCTACAAGGGAAAACATTTCTTGGTTCTATAAGGTTGCTTAAAAGTTAATGAAGACCAAAGGCAAAACTAAATAATACGTTGTTTAAGAACAAAAACAGAATAAAAATAGTTCAAAAAACAGATAAATTATTAAGAACATGAAGAGACATCCTACAGAATGGGAGAGAATCTGCCACCTGCTCCTCAGGACATATAAAGAACTCAAAAAACTTAACTCTAAAAAAAAAAAAAGAAAGAAAGAAAACCCCAATTAAATAAATGGGAAAGACTAAACATACATTGGTCAAAAGAAGAAATTACAGTTGGCCAACAAATATATGAAAAAGTGTTTAACATCTCTAGCAATCAGGAAAATGCAAAACAAAACTACATTAAGATTTCATTTCACTCCAGTCAGAATGGCAATTATCAAGAATTCAAATAATAATAAGTGTTGGCAAGGGATGTGGGGGAAAGGTACACTCATACTTTGCTGGTGGAACTGCAAATTGGTGCAACCACTCTGGAAAGCAGTATGGAGATTTCTCAAAAAACTAGTAAGAGTGGAATTACCAGACGACCCAGCTATCCCACGCCTCAGTATATATACAAAAGATCTAAAATCAGCATATTCTAGTGACGCAGCCACATCAATGTTTAGCAGCACAATTAACAATACCCAAGCTCTGTCCAACCTTCAACAGATGAATGGATAAAGAAATGTGGTACATATACACAATGGAGTATGACTCAGCCATAAACAAGAATAAAATCATGGCATTTGCTGATAAATGCATGGAACTGGACACCATAATGCTAAGTGAAACAAGCCACATTCAGAAAGCCAAATATTTTTTCTGATATGTGGAAATTAGTCCAAAATAGGAAGGGAAAAGAGAAAGAATGGAAAAGGGAAAAAAGGAGGGGAGTCTGTCAAAAAAGGAGGAAGACCAACAGGCTAAATGAATGGAACTAAGGGGGAAGGAAAAGAGTCGGATAAGAGAAAAAGAGAGGAATCAATCTAACCTAACTTTCCTATGTTCATACAGGAATACACCTCAGTGAATCTCATGTCATCTATATCCACAAGACACTAACCAAAAAGAAAAAAAGATCTAAAAGTAAATAGCACACAGATCAGTAGAGCAGAGAAAAAGGAACAGGGAGACGGAGGACAGGAGAAATACTGAGGACTGAATTTGAGCAAATTATATCCCATGCTTTTTAAATTATGTCAACATGAATCCTACTGTTATATATAGCCCAAAAAAGAAACAATAAAAAATGTAAAAAACTGCTACAAAAAAACTTAGGATATCATTTACCTTCTGAGGGAAAGCTTTTGGGGAGGAACACACAGCCAGCTAGGCCTTTTAGGCTTAGTGGTGAGTACACAGTATCCATCTTATAATCTTCAAATTTAATATATGCACCTTATATACTCTTATATGTATACTATGTTATAACAATTTTTAAGAAAAAAAGAGCAAAACATTATGTGTAACCAGCTTTTGCTACAGGGTTATAAAAAACAACCCTTGTAATTCAAAACTTTAAATTCCTTCAAAACTGATAGGGCCTAATTCTCAAAAATAAAAAATTAAATTAAAATTAGGTTTCTAATTTAACTAATGTTAACCGTTACGACTTTTCAACATTTTACTTCACTGTTTATAACAGAGTGTTTAGTTCTGTACTGTTTTCCTCTAACCCTACTGTAAAAAGCAAAAAACCAAAGAAAAACCTGTTTTAAATATGGGTAAACTTGGGACTGCACTGTCAAAAAAAAGTGGGGGGGGGGCAAAAAGAATCCTGAAACACAAATAATATTATAATAGCTTTTGTTCTCCCAAAATGATTCCCCACAAATGCAACACAATCTTAGAAACCAAACTATCTAACTGTTCCCATGTCCCTAGCCTAAGGAAAGTACTGTTTATGGCCTCAAGAGAGAGAGCACTGAGACAGACACACAATTTCAGAAGGGTAGGATCCACAGAGAGCAGCACAGGTCAGGCCAGCAAGAGCCATAAATTAAACATTTGGGGCTTTGTGAGCCGTGTTTGGTCTCTGTTGTGTATTTTTCTTTTTTTAAACTGCCCTTTAAAAATGTCAAACTACTCAGCTTGCAGGCCCTGGGCAGAAGTCTGCCACTCCTGAAGCTGACTAAATTCTGAGTACGCCTGATCTGATGAGGAAAAACTGTATAAATTGTATAAATTCAACTTTGAGAACATTTTTCCCCATCATGATCTACTTCTTTATTCATTTAACAAGCATCAAATGGTGCATGTAGCTTTTAAGCAGGGTAAATAATATTGTCAAGTAGCATGAAAACAATACAAGAAGCTACAAAATGCTACCCTTGATTTTTATATTCCTCATTCTGTCAACAATAATTTCCAGTGGCTTTAAAACTGTTTTCCTTCTTTTTTTCCTGATCCTTGGTTTTTGCCTGTTTTTATCTTATTATTTTTTTACATGCACCTTTAAACACAGTTTTACATGCATTACTGTGTGGTGAACAAACACTTCCACTTTCTGAAATAACACTGATCTCAACTGGTGTGTACAATTTTTTAGTTTCTAAGATCTTTCATATCAATTATGAGTCAGTAGCGGTGGTAAAACAAATTGAGCAAATGGTTTCAATAAATCTTCTCTACATGAAATTGAAAAAGCCAAAATACATTCTACTGTCATGTACAGCTAAAAAGAACAAAATTTTAAAATTAAAAAAAAAACTTAAAAATAACCTAAAAATATCCCATTAATGCTTTTAACAATTCCTTTGGTGATTCTAAAAATTATTTAGTAAGTATATCTCACACTAATATTCAGACAATAATTGTGATCATCACTGATAACCAGACAAAAGAAATATGAACATGCTATTTTAAGCCTATATGTGAATGTGTTTAACCAACAGGCTTTATTCATACTTACAGTTCTTTCTCAAGCTGTTGCTGAATTAATTTTGCTGATTTTGCCATTGCAATATCTGTAAAGTAAAAACACTGTTGTAGATTAAACCAGCTAATTCTTTCTCTATCAAAGTAAACATTAGATTTGCACATATGGATTTCCCAAAGTAATGCTTACAAACATGTTATGTTGATGACCCTAACATGGACTTAAGTTTTCCATACCTTACAGAGCTTTCAATTCAATACGTATGAGTCCAGTCAGTTTAACATAAAAAGAAAAAAAAAAAAAAACCTTACCAGTTCTCTGACTCAACCAAGAACTTTCACTCCAATAGACAAAACCCTACTTGTCACTTAAAAATAAACTCAGCATGCTTTCAGCTGATACTAATGATGTGAAAGCATCCTTCACACTACAGGGATGCTTGGTATGACCACAAACCCCAAATAAACATTAACTGCCCTCTACATGCTAAGTAAGAGAAATCAAAAGAAGTCAGGTAATGATGCTAATAAATATCTCTCTCGTTAAGTATCATAATCTAACCACTTCTGAGAAACGCTTTAAGTTCTTCACAGAACTTTAAGAAATAGATCAGTGAAAGGACAACTAGTTTATCTTATTTTATTGGTAACAGAACTGAAGGGCAGTTTAACTGGGCTTTTAATGGTTTTTAATGGTTACCAGTTTAAAGGAAAATCTTGTAAACTCCCATTGATAAAATTTGCTGAATGATAAACTTATTTGGAAGGAGAGACTCCAACCTCTCCCTCCAAAATAGTGCAACTGACATGACACATCGAAATCTGACAAACTTAATTTGGTAAAGTAAAATAATTTATAATCTTAAAAAAAACCCAAAAACCTACATCCCCCCAAAATAGGTAACAATTCCTCTGTTGTGGACCCTTAGGAAAGCCTGGTAAGAAAATGAGTGAAAAGATGGGAGTAGAAATAAATTTTAAGTTTTAACCTCAGAAAACCTGAAGCGCAATCACCATTTGACCCAGTTATCCCATTCCTCGGTTTATACCCAAAGGACTTACTGTAGCATACTGTAATGACATGGCCACATCAATGTTCACAGCAGCTCAATTCACAATAGTTAAGCTATGAAACCAACCTAGGTACCCATCAACAGATGAATGGATAAAGAAAATGTGGTATATATACACAATGGAATATTACTCAGCCATAAAGAATGAAATTATGGCATTCCCAGCAAATGGATAGAATCAGGGGCTATCATGCCAAGTAAAATAAGCCAATCCCCCAAAATCCAAAGGCTGAATGTTCTCTTGACATTCGGATGCTGACTCACGATGGGGGGAGGGGAATGGGAAAGACAGTAGAATGAATCAGATATAACTTTCCTATGTTCATATATGAATACACAATCCGTGTAACTCTACATCATGTACAACCATAAGAATTGGAAATTATACTCCATGTATTTATGTCAAAATATACTCTACTGTCATGTATAACTAAAAAAACCCAAATTTTCAAAATTAAAAAAAAAAAAAAAAAATCCTTCCACTTGTAGTTCACGACAACTGTCTCCAAACCTCAATAATGATAACTGTGGACAATTGAACTAATTCTTAGTAGTGATCTCAGAAAAATCTCAATTATTATGATAGAAAACACAATGGCACCTTGCTTGTTGCAGGCTATCAAGAATGATGGTGTGTTCTTCAGACTCATACTATCAATGAGGACTTGATACAGAAACTCGGCCACATCCTTCACCTCTCGCTGGAATGCTGCGCTGTCCACAACAAACACAACAGCCCTAGAGGGAAAAAAAAAGAAAAACTCGCACATGAGTCTGCAGCAGTGCACCATGATCCTGAAAATTCTAGCCTTAATTTCTTCAGATTAGTGAATCACACACTAGAGAAACATATGCAGGTCTGTGTAGAGTTAATCACACGACACTAATCTTCATTTAACATAAACTATAGCACTGAATGATACTGTGGGTCAATGCCTGAAGCTGAGCAGAGACTGAGGAATGATGTCCACCCCCAGAGACCAAGAAATCATGCAGAACTCAATGATAAATGCCAGGAGAGAACTATGCCCATGGTGTAACTAGAACAAAGAGGTGATCATTTCAATAAGACAAGGTCAAAGTCAAGGAGGATGGAGTAGTTGAGCTGAATTTTAACTAGATAAAATGTCCAGAACATAGTATATTGAAGGCACAAACAAGGGAAACACATACATTAAAGAAGTCAAGGCAAGCTGGTACATAGGGAGATGGAGAACGACACACGACCAGGTCACAGAGCAAAGGGTATGACACATCAACCTATGAAGTTTATATTTTTCTGTCTTGCACAGACTACTGGTACCTAAATGACAGAAATCGTAGAAGGCAACTGAACTAGAAGAGCATGACCAGGGAGGGCCTGACTTAAGGCAGCAGCAGTGAGAATCTTCATGTGCCACAAACAAAGCTATATCAGAGTTAAAGCACAGTAGCCCAGGGAAACTATAGACGATGGGCTTTAGGGACAATGGTCTAAATGCCCAGTGGGGCCGGAGACGTGCAATGGCTGACACGCACTGGGGAGCTGGAACCAAACCTGCTGCACGAAGCCTACAACTTAAAAGAAGTCTACTAGAGGCCCAGGGTTGGAAAATAATTCCAAAAGAAATTGAAAAACCAGGTCTCCAGGTATGGAGTGTGAATTTACACTCTCCCCAGGTGCAAGATTCCTAAGTAGAAAGATTTACATAAAACCTGGGCCATATTCTAAACCTCTCTGGTCCCAACAGATAGAAATATGTACTCCTTCTCGAATGAGGCTTTTATATACTAAAGTATATCAATCACAACAACAATAATGCATCCCCTTGAAGGGTTCTGGATCAAATATTACAAACCACAGAAGAAAATAAATAGTCATGCCAGAGAAAAACAAACACCCCCAAATTAGAGATAATGAAGCAATCTACAAAACACATGGTTAAAATTATTTAAGTGCACAATACTAGGAATCATAAGAAGAAGAAACAGGCGATTTTGGGGAAAAAAAATGTAAAGACCATACATAGTAAATGAAATTTAAAACCCAATGAAAAAGTTAAACAGAGATTATTCTTAGCTAAAACAAAATGCGGTAAACTAGAAAACAAATATGAGAGTATCACACAATAAGCAAAGTAGAAAAATTTAGAAGAAACAAGAAGGGCAGAAATACTAAGGTTCAATTGTGTCAACTGAGTTACAAGATGTGAGAACTGAGAATGGAGAAACAGCACTAGCCTGAAGAGATTATGAGAATTTCTAAGAACTAAAGACAGATATGAATCTCTGGTCTGGAACAGCACATTTAAATTCCAAACATGACAAAGCTAATCCACCCCTTGACAGAAGGCAGACCAGACAGATTTCCTAGAAAAATAACAATGAGACTGCAGCAGCAGACACAGAAGTCAGCAGTCATGCCTTCCATGTCACCATGGAAACAACTACCACCCAGGACTTTATACTCAGCTAAAATCACCATTCTAGTACCCAATAAAGATAGCTTCAAATGAACAAAAGATGAGAAATTTTACTACTCACTCACTCTCTGGAAATATTTCTAAAACATACACTGAGGAAAAACAGATCTTAAAAGGAAAGAGCAGAATGCCAGAATTTGGCGAAAGAAATCATAAGAATCCAGGTATGTCTCAATAATCATTGAATATAAGGGCAAAAATCAGCAATCATTGGAGGTGAAAAAGAATGATATGAGGAAGAGCAGAGTTAAAGCATTTGAGCTTTAGGAAAAAGGAACTAGTATTATTGATTTTATGAGATGTTGTGCAATGTTTAAAAGGAGGGACAAGGGGCTGGTGTTGTGGCTCGCCTAGCATGCATGAGGCACTGGGTTTGATCCTCAGCACCACATAAATGTAAAATAAAGATATTGTGTTCACCTAAAACTAAAAAATAAATATTAAAAAGGAAGGGGGGGGGCAAGTGGAGAACCACAAAGAGTAGAAATAACATATTTCACAAATAAAGGGGAAAAACAGAAATTAAGGAAATTTGACTTGTAATAAAAGTCACATAATAATCTTTAATATGCATTTATTATGATTAAGATTTCTTTGAACTCAGTTTTATCTTCTTTTTCTTTTTTCATGGGGACTGAATCCAGGAGCACTTAACCACTAAGCCACATCTCCAGCCCTTTTTTATTTTTATTTTGAGATGGGGTCTCACTGACTTGCTTGGGGCTTCTCTGAGTTGCTGAGGTTGGCTTTGAACTTGCGATCCTCCTGCCTCAGTTGAGATTACAGGTGTGCATCACTACCCCATATTTGTTCTATTTACCTATAATACTTGAGTCACAGAGTAATTATACTGCAAATTATAAAATATTTATAACTGACAACATAAAAACAAAAAAATTCAGTGGTAAATTAATACCCAATTCTAGATCTGTCTAAATTGTCTGAAAAATTTAAAAAAATCACATTCTCTTCTGAAACAAACTGCTCATCATCACCATCTTGTGGGTAAGGAAACAATTTCAAAATCTAAGTCCACATGTGTTCAATAAAAAGGAAAGAACCAACTAACTCATTCCTCAAACCTAAGATGCCATCAATTCAAAGAAACATTTCAGGAACCACTAAGAGGAGAAAATACTGCCAGTTAAACTATCACACCTGGGATAATTGCAACTGTAAGATGCCTTTGAAATTCAGAGACATTAAAATGTCTTCAAATCATTGAAATGTGTCAGACTAATTTCCCTCTCCAGTTCCTATCAATGTTAGATGTACACATGAAGAGAACACTTGCAAAAGCAGCGTAAGAATTTTAGTAAAGAATTTAAGGGTTAATAACATGAGGGCAGACACTGAAAGAATTATGAAAATATTGTTCTTGAAATAAAGTTACACATAATGTTGGAGTTTAATAATTTCTGGGACCCAACAGAGCTTTAAAATTTTTTCCTAAATATTAATAATCCTGTATTATGTCACTGAATTCATCTTCAGAGTATATTTTAATAATAATGAGGGAACACTTCCCAAACACTCTGAGAAATATTCTTTAAGCATTATCCCATACAATCTTCACAATCCTAGCAAAGGTGGGCTTGCAACCCAGAAGTGGCTCACTCCAAGCTCCATGTTCTTTCTACTGCAGGACAGTGTGCTGCCTCCAGAATCCCATCAGAGCAAAACACCAGCCCCACATGTGCAGACTGGATACACAGTACCAACTTCAACAAGCCCACTTCATTTCTTTCTACTTACCTGGCTGAAGACTTAAACCGCTCCAAGAACTGAAGCCTTAAGCTCTCATGTCCAGGGAGGTCAATCAAGGTCAAGCTGTTGCCCTGAGGATGGCAGCAATAATATTGGATTAATGTTTCCATCCAGATCCATGTGCACATCAGGATCAAATTAAAGGCATAATACTGGAGTCTAGTTAATTAATTAATACAACAAGTGTTACTCTAATAAATAAATCAAACAAATTTTCATGGAACATTTTCAAATAAAACACCAGCCCAGGGTTGGGGAATGTAGTTCACTGGCAGACTGCTTACTTAGCATGCATGAAGCCCCGGGTTGAATCCCCACACCAACCTCCCCCTACAAAAATAAAACACTGGTCAAAGTTCTGGGGATATAATAGTGAACAAAGATGTGGTTCCCGGTCTAACATTAAGCATGATGTAAAATTACATATAAAGTAACAATTTTGATAAATGTTCTTAGGTTTCGTAAGAAACCTGACCGAGGGAGTCGGGAATGTGTGGTCTATCTGATGTTTAGGAGATACCAGTGTGAATAAAAGCAAAAACATGTTAACAACTGTAATAAATATTCACAAGCTTATAATGCAAAAAAGAACTTAGAATTTATAGCATATGTTGCCATTACTGGGATCCTTAATCATTATAACAAAGCATACTTTCATAGTTTCCACCCCTTAATTCTTAAATATGTGCTTACCAGATACCCATTTATTTGTTTCAAATCTGTCGAATTTTTTGCCAATTTTTGAACCCCTATTTACCAAGCACATTATGCACTAATACTAAATCCTATTCACCATTCCAGGACTTCATCCTTGACCTTATGATCAATGTAGATGTGTCTGTGCTCAGTGACAAAACTCTTAAGAGTTGGCTTTAGTACAAGTATCAGACTCATCAATCATTTCTCGCATGTTTACCTCCAACCATGATCACAGTTCAATAGAAGGGAATCAGTATCATGTACAGATCTGACATAATTCCAGCTGGATTCATTATGATCTTTCAGAAAGACAAATAAAAATACGTACTAGCCTTTTCAAAATATTGGTAAGAGTCTAGTGAACCCAGATTAGGACCTACTGCTCCATTTAAAAAATAGCACTGAACCACACAGCATTAGCAATTCAGAAGATTCATGACTAGGTACATTACTACCTAGAGAAAACTAAATCTAAACGTAAGGGAGTGGGAGCAGTGTTTGTGAAAAAAGGGAGGAATGTTCTATATTCTCAACAAAAATATAAGCCACATGTAATCTTAAATTTTCTAGTAAATATTTAAAAAAGTAAAATTTGTTATAATAAGTTATATTATCCAGTATATCAAAAATATTATTAATATGTACTAAGGAACCAAGACATTATTAATGATAGCTTACATTCCTTTTTTCACACTGGTTCTTCAAAGTCTGGTAAGTACTTGACACTTATATGACCCCTCTATTTGGACTGGTCAAATTTCAGTGCTGTACAGTCACGCAGGGTCAGTAGCTACTGCACTGAGAGATACAGGTCTAACACACCCTCAAATAGCCCACTTTAAAAAATTCAGTACAGGACCCTAAAAATTAATGATCTCCTAAACCTGAAATTTCAAAATCCAAATCTTTGGAAATTTAAAAAGGTTTTGGTCAGAAAAACTGCCATCATTCAAATAAACAAAAATATCTCTAGATATTTAAATGGAGTCCCTGTACCTTTGCCTACAGTGTTTAACTCTAGAGGCACCACAAAGGGGAAGTGGCACAAGGGAAAAGGGAAAAGAGCCCTAAGATCACAATTCTAAGTCACTATCCTTCTGTCCTTCCACTCTTCCAGTCAGTCACTTAGTCCTCATTCCACTCACTCACTAAAACTCATTAAGTATCATAACTGGCTTGCTTGTCACTATTTACATTCTAGAAAAGTCTTTCTTATGATTCTTTATGGGTATTTTTGAAAGTGTTCATATATACTTTTCAAGATATCCATTGCAACAGTTTGTAAAGGCAAAAGATTCTAACCACAAACAAAACTAAATATTAGCAGTACTTTGATTACATCAAAATTTAATTATATGGTACAGCCAGAGTAGAATACTATGCAGTTCATAAGTCAACAAGATAGTACTATGTGTTTAAATGTAGGAGAAAAATGTTAAGTTCTATCAGTCATACTGTTAAATAAAAAAATATGGACAAAAAAGTGTGTTAAGAAAAAATATAATAAAGGGATATATAGATACAGCTGTATATGCATTGAACACTTAGAAGCTTACACACAAAAATAACAGCAGTTATTACTTCCAACAACAAGACTAGCTTGTGGGATTAGAAAAGGAAAAATTACTTTTCAATTTTTTTGTTCCGTGTACATGTATTACCTCTTCAAAACATAAAAGAAAAAGACTTAATGTCCATTTTTTTTAATATTTATTTTTTAGTTTTAGGTGGACACAATATCTTTATTTTACATTTATGTGGTTCTGAGGATAGAACCCAGTGCCTCATGCATGCTAGGTGAGCACTCTACCACTGAGCCACAAACCCAGCCCTAATGTCCATTCTTAAATAGGTAAATTTGGAAAAAAGACAAAAAAAAATTAAGAATAAAATGAATTATAACATTACTGTACATAAGTGACTACAAAGGAGAGGTAGAAATGACTACATTGGCCAACAGATTATAAAAGGCAGAATTTGTCACATAATATATTTTTATATTCCTTATAAAAATAAACTTCAAATGGTATCTACATCCTCAGACTAATTCATTCCAGTCAGGTTGTCAGACTCTTTAACACTGCAGTCACATCTTACCCTGTTATTGTTGACTCTGTATACAGCAGAGCTGTCAGTAATAGAAGTCTGAGTGTCTCTGTAATGGCCTGTTAACAACTGTAAAAAATAAGATGGGAGAGATCAGAATGAACATATTAACAATAACAGCAAATCTAATGAGTAATAATAATGTTCTACCCTGCCCAGGTTAAAGATCAAATAAAATGAATGTTGCTTGCAACAGCTAAAAAAGATCTTAATTTTTTTTAACCTGTAGAAAAATTGCAAACTTCCTCCCCCTCTCTTTAATAAGAGAAAAAAAAATATTTTCAAACCATAGTTAGTGGCCAAATTTACTTCCCTTTTGTAAACATTTTTAACTATCATAAATAATTTGAAATTATATTTCCTTAGTGGAAGGAAAACTACTTCTACTGTCCAAAGGAATAAAAAGCAGAAAATCTGTCCTATTCTCATAGTAAAACACATACTCAGTTAAAAATACCAAAAACAGCAGGGTATGTTGGTGCACACTCATAATCCCAGGAAATCAGGAAGCTGAGGCAAGAGGATCAAAAATTGGAGGCCAGCCTTTGCAATTTAGCAAAGCTCTATACAACTTAGTGAGACCCTGTCTCAAAATAATAAAAAAACATAAAAATAAAAATGCTGTATACATTAAAAATAACTATTAGTGAAAAGAAACCTAATTAGCATAAACTATTAAAGAAGAATCATCCTTTAAAAAAATAACTTTGACAAAGCTGGGCTGGTCACTTGGAAATGGTCAGGCTAGGAGTATTTACACTACAGAAATCAGCAAAGGCCACAATTTAGAGCTTTGTTTACTGTTTCATAGGCTGTTTAGACTTAAGAAAGTGATAAAGAAAGGTTAAAATTAAAACCATGTTGTCTAGAGCCATTACAGTGGTTAGCACAAGACACTGAGAAAGTGTTCCTTTAGTATTATCTGATTCATCAAAGTTGTTCATGTCATCGATGAATAAGTAAAGTTTGACATACATTTTCATGGTTTCATTTTCCTCTTGTGAACACAAAAATAACAACTAATATTCACGTCATGTGTCAGATTTAATGACAATAAATTTATAGAGGAAAGAATCAGCAGACTGGGATGTAACTGCATTTGTCAAGTTATGGTACAAATATAACCACAGTTTGGCTACTGGGGCAAATCTTCCAAAATCCAAAAAATTCCCCCCAAAATTGAAATATTAAAAAAAAAAAAAAATCTTTTACAGGCTCTCTGAAAGGTTTGTTACATGATAAATTATAACTTTAAGTAGGTCAGGTTTATATGTCTTTAACGGCATCCTTAGCCATTTAACACTTATTAAAAAATCTTGTGATAAAAATTAAATATCAGCATCTGGTAAGGAGAAAAAAAGAAACAGGAATGGCTATAAAATTTTAGTTCATAGGATTTTCAAGTCTTTTTGTTTTCATAAAGTCTAGAATTCACTCCAAATTTGGCAGGATAAGTTTCTTTTGCCAAATAAAACATAAAATCACAGGAATACAGGGATGCCATAATATTAAGTTTAACAAAGATATAAATCAAAGCACTTACCCTGACAAACAGCAATGTCTTCCCGGAATCACAAAGACCAACAAGGAGAACAGCTCTCTGACTGCTCTTTCTGCTCCAGATAAACTTCCAGAGCACTGTGGAACAGAGGGGAAAGTAATAATAAAACAAAGATATCTATGATAACCTGTGATTTATTTTGTTATTAGCACTATTTACGGTGGTTACTTAGGCACTCGCTGAATGCCAGCCACTATCAACTGTCAACTCTCTGTGTCTACACCTCTTCCCTGAGCGTGGATATCTCAAGGGGTATCTTATGACTTTTGTATTCCCAGAGCCCAGCTCGCAAACATAGGATGTCCACGCTCGTCTTCAGACCCCGTGGATCCCGGCGGTAAGTGATGGAAAGGGAGGGACCGCGCGCCCAGGCTTAATAGGAGTGGAGTTAGGGAAACGCGTGTCCCAAGCACCAGGACGTCATTCCCGGGGTCGCCCGGGATCCCCCTTTAACGCAGGGCTGCGTCAGACAAGAGGGTTGGGTGACAGACATTTTGAATCTCATATCTAAACTCCACTAAAACGCCCTCTCGGCTCCGGGGCCTGCCGAAGCAGAGCGGAGGCGGGGACCCCGGCCACCCTGCACCCACCATAATCACCCGCCGCCTCCTTACCCAGCGTCAGCAGAACTACGAGGAGCGACACCAGTACTGACAACAACGTTGGGTCCCTCTGCTGCAGCTCCTGCCTCAAGGAGTCTAGGTAGGGCTGGAAGGTGCCCCCGGCACCGCCGGTGTCTCCCATCCGCCGGGAATCCGCGGAAGCCATGGATGAGGCTCGTGCTCTCCGGTGCCGCAAAAGCGACGTGGCCCTATGCTCTGCGCAGGCGCGAGCAGCAGAGCTTCACGGGAGTGGTAGTTCCCGCTTTCGGGCCTGTGGGATGCCCGTGTGCCTGATGGGAGTTGTAGTTCGCTCATACACCCAGCTCCTCTACGAAGGCCGGAACCCTCATTCTTCGCCGCCTAAATGACTGTGGAAAGTACAATGAAATGAATGGCTCTCGAAATTTCCACTTAGAACTTCTAGTCGGTCTCTACGAGAGGTGAGGCTTGTGAGGAACTCAGGCATCCTATATTGAAGCGACTTAGAATGTGGCAAGCGATAGGACAGAAGGATGTACACTGGGAGATGGGACTAAAGGCAAGCATCTGAAGGATGAGTGAGCTGCTGCGGGCCCTTAAAAGGGGCAAGAAAGCTCCGTAAAGAAGAAAAGAAGTAGGAGCCGATGGCATGTGCAGGAATGTTAATTCTTAAGTAATTTAGTCCTCTACACTGTACACCTAGGCGTGGGACTCAAATGACTGCACTAAGGGAAGCAGCCAGGAAAATCAATGCTAGATAAGTCTAGGAAGGCATTCAGCGGTGCTCAGGAACTTAGAGTTTAGTCTCGATGCAATAAGAAGTTGCAGTTGAGGGTGACATAGTTAACTGTAGATCTATGGATCCCAAGTAACCACTATATACTGCATGTTCAAACAAAGTAGGATTCACTGAATAAAAACAGACAATGGGGACTCTGGATCAAGAAAGGATGTTTAAAATGTGAGGGTTAAGAAAGTAAATAAATCATTTTATTATAAATTACCATCATCAATTACAAATATCAGATCTTGCCACATTCTAATTCTTTCTTATGGTCCTAACTCCTGCTCCATATCTACTTTCCAACACAAACATTCCTTCCTAGCTTTACCTCTGTCACTCTTGCTAAAATGGCTAATCTAACCAACTTTTACGAATTTTGTAATTGATGATTCAGCATCAATTGCCAACCAGGTCAAACTAATGCTCAAAATTGTATTTCCTGCCATGGTCAGTTTTTCAAGGTTTTGCCTAAATCATATTGTTAACCATCCAAAGATCTTAACATCTTTCTTTCACTTCCTGCCTGATCAAAAATGCATCCTTGGGCTGGGGATGTGGCTCAAGCGGTAGCGCGCTCGCCTGGCATGCGTGTGGCCCGGGTTCGATCCTCAGCACCACATACCAACAAAGATGTTGTGTCCGCCGAGAACTAAAAAATAAATATTAAAAAATTCTCTCTCTCTCTCTCTCTCTCTCTCTCTTAAAAAAAAATTTTTTAAAAATGCATCCTCTTAGCTACTCCCTGCAATACTACTAATGAGGAGAGAACTCCATACATACACACTTTGCTCCTTTATAATAACCATTGGTTCTTCTTCAGAAAAATCCATGAGTGAGTATTACCCAAAGAGGGATTGCTAGGTCTTATGGTAGTTCTCTTTTGAATTCTTTAATTTTCTTTCTTTGTATCATTTTTATAATGACTGTGCCAATCTTCATTTCAACCAAAAGTGTACAAGGGGTTCCCATTCTTCATGCCCTAACTGGCACTTGTTATCCTTTGACTTTTTGATAATAGCCTTCTAATGGGCATGAAGTGATATCTCATAGTGGTTTTGTTAGCATTCTCTAATCATTAATGATGCTGAGCACATTTTCATATACCTGTTGGCAATTTTTCTTCTTTGGAGAAATGTCTATTTGGTTCTTTTGACCATTTTTTTTTCTTCAGACTATTTGTTTTTCTACTGTTGAGTTATATGATTTATACATTTTGGATATTAACTATCAGATACATGATTTGCAAATATATTTTCCCAGTCTACACGCTGCCACTTCATTATGTTGATTGTTTTCTATGCTGTGCAGAAGTATTTCTGTTTGATATAGTCCCATTTATTTATTTTTTGCTTTTTCTGTTGTTTGTTTTGTTTTGTTTTTTGTGGTGCTGGGTATTGAACCTGGGGCCTTATGCATGCTAGGCAAGCCCTCTACCAACTGAGCTATATCCCTAGCCCTGTTTATTTTTTTGCTTTTGTGCCCTGAGGTTTTGGTTTGATATCCAAAAAAATGATCCCTAATGCAAATGTCCAGGAGCTTATCATACATTTTAATAGATGGAAGAGGTAACTGGTCCACTATCATTACTCTTTTCTCAGACTTTTTCATAACTGTCTCATGTTTATTTTTTATTTGAGCAGTACTAAATTTTCTTGAGTTAAAAAATTGCTTGTATATTGATTAAGGGAGAATTGGCATCTTTACAATACTGAGTCTTCCTATCCAAGGTACTATGTTTTTTTGTATTATTTTTTACTGAGTGTAGTTTAAATCACTTTTAAATGTAGTTTTCATGAGTTTAGTGATGCATTTTACTTGTTATTACAAAACATTATTATTCTAACTCACTCTTATTTGTGTAAGGGAAATTTATTTTGTATCTCAAATTTTCCTTCCGTTTTACTGAATTTTATTTTACTTTTTAATTTTATTTTTAATACATTATTCGTTTTATGGATTTTTAGTATATAGTTCTCACTAGAAATTTTGATGTTTCTTTAAATATTATATCTTATTTAGTTTTCTTATGTAATTGGATTGACCAGTAGCTCTAAAACACTGTGATCTAAGATTGGTAGTAATTGTTTCTTTACCATAGGCACATGTTAGCTTTTGGTTATATGTATAAAAGACCACTGCCCAGTAACATCTGCCTATCCTGTTTTAGTAATTAAGGATGGTGGAAGGGTACCGAATTATTGCCATCTATCCCAGCTGGCGACCTATGCTGGGTTCACAAATCTGACTACTCCAATAACTTAAGAAAATGGCAAAGAAAGCACACAAACACACAGAAGTACCTTTTCAATAATAAGCTCTCCGACCTTAGGGGTCTATGGAAAAAGAGAGAGAACCCTTGGAATTCTTTATTCTTATACAGGGGACACACAAGGGGAGATTCCATTGAACATTCTATCCCAAGAAGGGCAAAAGGGTAGGATTACAAAGGAACAGGTGAGTGTAACTCAACTCCACTGGGTGACACCTACTCCTGGAGTCTCCTCTTTATCTGAGCATAAAGCCCAGGTTATTGTGGGACACAATAATTGTTCAGTATTTCTTGCTCAGGACTTAAGGGTGTGTATTTCCAGAGCGACTCCTGACACTAAATGTTGTTGTACTAGCCCAACTGTCTAAGAGTTCTGTTAGTCTATCAAAATTAGGTGTATTGACCTGTTACAACGAGACGGACCACATCCCAACAAAGGACAAGTTGAAATTACAGGATCTGGGGTGACGGTGGACTTTAGGTGACTTTTCAATAATAGGCTGAGGATTGATAGGTTCAGAGAGAATCAAGGCTGGTATTAAAAAGGTTCACACCAGGTCTGGACTGCAAAGCACACCCAGAGTCCTGATTCCTGGAATTAAGAGAGGTGTGAAAGATTTTGTGCAGAAACCCCTTATCTGCAGTTCTGCATCTGAATGGAAAGTGAGGCTGTGGTAGGAGTTGGTAAAAGGGGCAAGTGGAAGTTATTTAGAGGTCAGAATCAACATAGACTTTGGATGTGGAATGGAGGAAAATGGTGAATGAGACTTGATACCCCTGTCTGCAGCATGAATGACTGAGTAAATGACAGTGTCTTCAGCCAATGTGAAATATACTAACAATAGTTAGTTTAGGGAAGCAAAAGAAGGGAGAAGGACAGATGATTCTCTTGTTTTTTGTTTTTGTTTTGTTTTATTTGTAATGCTGGGAATCAAACCTAGGGTTTCACACATGTTGGGCAAGCCTTCTATCACTGGGTTACACCTCCAGCCCAGATTTTGATTTGTTGGGTTTCTGATCACCGTAGGACTCTACAATATAGATCCATTGGTAATAGGTGGAATCAGTGAGTTGGGGGACACTGGAGGCTGGGGTTACAATGACCCAATATGGGTGCCCAAGAGTCATTAGCATTGCTTGAAGGAAGGCCTGGAAAGTGAGAGGTGCACTGGATCTAGAGAAGAACTCCAGGAAGATTTCCCCCAAATTCCAAGATAAATAGGATGAGCCTACAGTAAGACCACAAATGAACAGAGAGGTAGGAATCAAAGCAGAGGAGAGAGGTCATGTCCAAGAAGCTAAGGGAAAGAGTCCCAAGGAGGAGGGTCTGGTCAACTGTATCATGTGCAGGAAACAGGTTCAAGAATGAAATGACTGAGTTGGTTTAACAGTGAGAAGGTGGTGCTGACTTTCACCAGAGTAGCTTCAGGTAAGTGGGTGGAGCCAAAGACGAGTTTCTGTGTGTTCATTCAATAATAATAAAGGAAAAATGAGCCTCCCTCTTAGAGGAAGCTGGATGAGAAGGGAAGGAGATGGCAGAAATTGCCCAAGGGATGATTTTTAGCCAAAGATGTTTCAGAATCAAGTTAGAATCAGAACCTTGGCTATGTCAGATAGGATGCATTCAAAATATAAAAATAAATCCAGGCATATGGCTCATGCCTATAATCCCAGCAGCTCAGAAGACGGAAGCAGGAGGATCTCAAGTTCAAAGCCAGCAACAGCAAGGCTCTAAGACCTTTTCTCTAAATAAAATACAAAAAAGGGCTGGGGATGTGGCTCAGTGGTTGAGTACCCCTGAGTTCAATCCCTGGTGCCTAAAAAAAATAAGTAAAGTCCTCTATACTCGTTTCTATACTCACTGAACACTTGATCTTTGTAACTCACTCTCTATCCTTCCTGCTCTTCCCTGGTAACACATATGTGCACATACATAGGAGCACATACATTTGATTCTATTATAATGAACACACAGACCCTTTTAGAAAATGTTCCTTCATGTGGTGGACTCAAGAGGTATGGTTATGGCACCACACAGAACTGCAGGGAAAATCTAGATGGGACTTGAGCTAAGAAGGAAGGGTTCAGCTGCACACATAGATAAAGAAATCCTTCAGGTGGAAATATTTGTAAAAAAAAAAAAAAAGAAGTTGTTGAAATATAAAATCAACAGTAGTCTTTATTTTGTGACCTA